GCTATATAAATTCAAGCCTCTCTCTAAAGGTAAAATATGGCTTGCAACTTTTAAATGACAGTCTTTCTCCACATCTATGTTCGTAAGATTTTTTGTTTTTTCAATTTTAGTCCAAGGACCGAATTTCACATGGAAAGAGAGTAAAGCAGGACATTCCTGTGGCTTCACACTCACTATAGTCACTGTCATGTATTTGCTTCCTCACAAGGCCCTGGAAGCCCTGTGGTCTCCACTCACTGCTGAGTGTCGCTGGCACAGAAAAGGCTCCCCATCCCAGGCGTCCTGTCACACCTTGGCAGGACTCGGAAGCACTCCAAGTAGCAGGATGCGGGCTGCAGGGTGTCTACAACTGAGGAGGTCTAGAAGGAAGTCCAGCATGATCAGAGTCTGCAGCAAAGCAGATGAGACAGTACTTCCAGTACAGCTTAATGCTCCTCACTCTAATCTGAAAGAGGGTTGGAGAGTGATCTCTAGGGTATCTTCAAACTCAAACTCTATAACACTGTAATATCCTTAGTGACACCTTAGTGACACCTTAGCATGACTTTTGCTATCGTGAAAATCCGTGGGAAGCCAGGCTTTGTAACTTTTTGGGCACTACCCCTGTACACAAAACATGGAATGCAGTCATGGCAACCCTGGGATATGCAAACACATGGTCACGGTGGTCCTCTTCTGGAGGCAGTCCTCCCAGCAGTCAGCCTATCGAGACCCTCCTTCAATACATAGTTCCTGTGTTACTTTATTCATTGAAACTTCCCTAGCTAGGCTCGCATACATCTTTTCATTTTCTGTGAACTTCCAGCATGCTAAATTCAGTACCAGATAATTTAGCAATCCATTGCTTTTTGAACTTCAATTAATTTGGTCTTATGAACTGAATTATAAACCCAAAACTCAGGATTGGATCTTCTGCCTCTTTGTATAATTCATAGCACCTCACACAGTGCTTAGCAAGAGAAGGAGCTAAATAAAAATATTTGATAGACTCAAGCAGAAAGAATATATTTGCACAGATAGGCTAAGACACACATCTTTTCTTTTTTTTTTTTCATGTTTGTTTTTTTTTGAGAAAGAGACAGAGCATGAGCCCGGGGCGGGGGGAGGGGGGGGGCGGCAGGGAGCGTGAGGCAAAGAGAGAGGGAAACACAGAATCTGAAGCAGGCTCCAGGCCCCAAGCTGTCAGCACAGAGCCCAATGTGGGTCTCCAACTCACAAACCATGAGATCATGACCTAGGCCGAAGTCAGTGGCTTAACCAACTGAGCCACCCAGGTGCCCCAAGACACAGAGCCTTTGCCCTAATATGGCTAAACTAATACCAGAACAATTTATCATGTTGAGAGAAGGAAGGTATGGAAACTTAAAACTCCTTATCAACAATCAGCAAGATAATTAGTTGGCAGAGTATTGTATTTGTTTTGTTTTGTCTCCAGAGAGTTCTTGACTGCTGCTTAACTAGCCAAGACCTGCTCAGAAAAAGGTCCATTTTGGAAGATATAGGTTTATTTGAAGGTCTCCAGATCACTGTTGAAATGTAGTTTTAGGCTAGTGCAAAAATACCGAAGTCTGCTCTGGTTTCAAATAAGTATGGGGTCAGGAGAAAGGGGATGTAAGCAGCATTCAGAATTTTTGAAACATATTTTAGGCTAAAAGGGCCTGCTGGTGTAACCATGGGCTTTCCGATTTGACCCAGTCCCAAAACTTTAAAGGAGTGACTGTGGAACCCAGAGACCAGGGTGTAGCCAGTTAGGCAAGTACAGGATAGTCTGAAAAAAATAAAGGGGTTTGGTAGCCTTCTAGAATCTGGACAGAGGATAGAGTGCTTTGGTAAGCTAGGTTCCTTCCTCAGACGGCTTCTCCATATGGACAAGTGTGTACATTAAGGCATTGCTAAAGTACCAAGATAGGAAATTGTATATGCTGGCAGGTGCATCTGATCTGCTAAAAGTCGTGCAGATAATGTAGGTCATATATCTCTGTAATGTGTTTTCTAGTATTCTTGGATATTTGGAAAACACCACACTAGGAGACCTATGAAAAAAATGTTGTCATAACTGGGTTGCAAACCCATTCCTAAAATTATCACCATGTGTTTGTTTTCATTTACTATCATATTATCTGGTCTCTAAAGAGATGAAACTTGAAAATTATTTCAGCCATCCACTTCATACAACATTGCTCTCAACAAGATCATCTTTGTGTTTCCGATGTAAATGACTCAAACCAAAAAGATCTTTCTTACAGAAGATTTCCATATAGTACTGGTAGTTTGTTCCTGTGTCATGTTTTATACATGAAGTTGCTGCGTAAAAAAATTTTCCGTCAACTGAACAAGTTCAATAGCAAATTAAAGACTTATTTTTCCTTAGAGAGAAAAATGTATGACAGTTGTTATAAATAAATACGCAAATGTACTTCCCATTGCCAAGATTTTCCAAAGAAAGCTTCAGTTTGCTCAAACAATAGGCTCGCTCCTAGATCTTCCAGCTACAGGAACTTGTGGGTTTTGGTAAATATTAGCAGAACAGGCCTATTCACAAAGGCTGCACACCTGACCATCTGATCTTAGACACAGTGTACCCTCAACGCTTCTGGGAAAGACCAGTCTGAATTTTTTTTCATAGGCTGGACATAATGAAAATGAACTGAGTTTCCACTTGTGTTTGTCCACGTTTCTGCCAGTAACTAGTTTCGTAAACTCTGGTCACTAGCAATGCATGGGAGAACATAGCTAATAAGAAAAGAAACTTAATTTTTTTCATATGTACTCATAATATAAGTAGAAACTTATTATAATGATTGATTCCACTTATTTTGCCATAGTAGCTCCCCAAAGGTTAATTATATATAACTATTTGGCCGTGTGTATGTCGATCAGAGCTACTTATATCTCTTTATTCCTGAAAACTATGCCATAGCGCTTGTTATGAGAACAAATCTCTAATTTGTTTAAGCAAATTTTTAATTTGTTTCTCATATATTTATGTGCCAGTGGCTGGTTAATGTATTTGTCTAAGGCATACTAAAATCCTTGATAGTATCGTCAAAAAAGAGCTCAAGTTCGTCCTGGTTGTCTTCCTAAAGACAAATTACAGTGATTGCAAAGACTGGACCAACCTTTTTTCTGCTCTGTGTTTTGAAACACAACTGAGAGCGGTTACCACTCCTGTAATGCCAGCTATAACGAAGACGAGGATGGCATTTCTTAAGCATCTACCTGGAGAAATGAGGGAAGACACCTTTTTCTGCTTTATAAATACATAAATTTGTGTCCATGCTGTCAAGTAGGCTTCACATGAATATTCTCCTGTTTTATTATTTCCCTTAGCCTTAGGTACTTTGCGCCCTCTACTTTTATTGTTTGTGAGCCTATCTTTCTCGCTTTCGTAAAATGAAGATATCATCCAAGAATGGCTCTTTGGCAAAGAAATAAACCCACTGGATATTTGACTGGCAGGCTTGTTCAATTATACTCTTGGTATGTTACAAATTCAAATGACATTTTCTGCATATGCCCAACATTTGAGAGAACCATAACATCCAGACGTGCTCATGGTTTTTCTTTCGGCTATCAAAATAAGAAACAAGTCTGTATCTTCCAGACAGTAAGGCTGAAAGCCTTGCAAGGAAGTGTGATTCAGGTCAATGAGGTAATTGAGGAAATGTCATGACAACCAAAATTAAAATGAGCAGCCTCATATTTGCATGTGCCAGCTGCTCCTCAGGAAATCTTTCTGGCTGCTTTTTGTTCCTATTAGACAGGATAATGTGCCTGCAAATTATATCCAACTGAAAGAGAATTGACTCACCCTCAGCAGACATTGTAGTAGCAGACAAACCGTGGAAGGATGAAATCGAGAGGAAGAACCAAGAACCAAACAAAACACACACATGTATGCACACACACGTGTGCGCGTGCACACACACACACACACGCACATCATTTTTCTTTCCCATTTCTGCCATGATGATGCTGGCAGATCATTTTAAAGCTTTTAAAATGAAAAGTCCCTTTTAACCTCATACCACTCTAAATTGCCTCATGACTTGTTTATACCCCGTGTTGTGCAAAACGGTTCTGAAGGCCTGAGCTTCCTCCTATTGTGACTTGAATGTTCCCCAGGAGGACAAGACTGCCATAGGAGGGCGTCTTTCCTCCTTCGGGTCATGGGCTTCACAGTCTTGAAAAGTAGATGCGTGATACTAGTGTGAGTCCTTCCTAGCGTCAGTCATCCAGGTAGTCTTCTGCTGAGTCTTCTGTAAATATACAGTAAAACCTTGGTTTGTGAGCAGATTTCGTCCCAGAAACATGCTTGTAATCCAAAGCACTTGTATATCAAAATGAATTTCCCCCTAAGAAATAATTGAAACTCAAATGATTAGGTCCACAACCCAAAAATATTCATATAAAAATGGTTATAATACTGCAGTATACTATAAAATAATAAAGAAAATACAAAATGTTAAAAAAATAAATTAACCTGCACTTAACTCTGAAAACCTCTGTGGCTGATGTGAGAGAGACAAAAGAGAGGAGGGTTATTGTGTAGGGTGACTTTCTCTATCACTAACGGATGTCGACTACAGTATAGTGTTAATAAACTCTTGTCATATACTCTGTTGAATGTAACTGGCAATAGGCAGCAGAGGAAAGGGTGTATATCTGCAGGCAGCTGGACCTAGAATGAAGCAAAGCATTCCTAAGCCTACTCTTGTATGGAAAGGCCAAGACTGTCCATAGGTGCTTTGAAGTGACAAAAAAATACACTAGTGCCAGTTATGGGCACCTTATAACATTCTGAAAAGTCCCTGATTTCTGCCAAACACCGTGGCCTGAGACGGAGCACCTGAGCATGAGCATAGGGGACGATCACCCATAATCCTTCAGAGAGAGAGAGAGAGAGAGAGAGAGAGAGAGAGAGAGAAAGAAGAACCATTGCCTCAGTTGTGGTCGTGTGATGTTCGGTGTCGCGTACTACTTGTATTGCAAGTTACCGCTCGTTTATCAAGTCAAAATTTATTAGAAATGTTTACTCGTCTTGAGGAACACTCACAGAACAGGTTACTCACAATCCAAGGTTTTACTGTACTATGTAGAAAGAGATATCGTGTCCTGCATCTGTGCTCCAGTGCTACTGTGCTTCACAGATTTGAAGGTCAACCGCAGTGAGGTCTCTGTACCCCATATCCCCGTGAACTGTGCAATGGGGCATTATCCTCCAGAAGACATCCACGTGGCTTTCTAGGTGAATCTCTGTGAGTCACAAGGACATGGAAATTGCCATCACTTGTTGGCATCTCTCATGGCTATTATCAGCTCAAAACAAATTAAGTCGTCACACAGTTGACGCAGTTTCCTCCTCGCTTGTGGCAGGTGCTGAGCCAAGCTGAGTGGATTGGCATATTTGCTGTCTTGATGGCACAAAGCCCCACAAAAGCGGAACCATTTTCACTGGCGCAAAAACGTTCCAAAGGATGCTTGCTGTACAGATTCTTTCTATTCATTCTAGAATATAAAAGAATATAAAAAGAAATGCTCCATCTAAAGATAATCTCCCTCTCTCTGTATATTTTTTAATGTAAGACAGTTATTTCGAGTCATAAATGGCAAGTTCTCTGAGAGTGCTAGGGAAAATTACTCTTAATACCTTTATCCTATTAAGTTGCCATAGTAATAAAATCTCATTGTGCTAAAGTAACTTTCTCAACAGGTCAGAGCTTGAAATTCTATGTTGTAAACTTCTAAATACAAAAAAGGCATAAGTTTATTATTTGGAGTTCCAACTGTAGAAACCTGACAGCTTTGAGGACTTTAAAAGATACTGAATCAATTGCTATAAAAGGAAAACACTTGACAATTTAATTCATATAGTATATCACTATTGAACAGACTTCTTGGTGATTTATGAAGGGCATGTTTGTGGGCTGGGTTTTGGAATTTTTGCATGACAGGTAAATTTGTGCTCAGAATGCTTGCATCTTCAAAGACCCACAAGTTTGGCTGTGGGTACATGTAACATTTGGTTTGGAAACATATGAAAGAAACACTGATATTCCTTGAGAATGTGATTGAACTGTGAATTTACTCTGATATATTGATATAAAGTTTTAAGTTATTTTATCTGTACTATTTATGTATGTCTGTATTGGAGGCATCTAACCTCCATGCTTCAGAAGCTCCTAGAGAGTTGAGGTTGTCTCCATGTAACTGTCAGCAATTAGTAGACACCAAAGTTGACCAGGCTTTTGACTTCTTCTAATGCTGAGTTGCTTCATTCAATGATATCTCCTCAATTCTATTTGATTTCAAGTGTACTGTGAACTGAATAAAGAAAAGACTGACTGAAGCCAAATGAAGCCTAGATGATGCTTCTGGAATGGCTGCTTAGTTCATCATATTCAAAGAAAAGAACACAATAAAAGAAAAAAAACAAGAGCACCTCACTGGCTCAGTCCATAGAGCATGCAACTCCTGATGTAGGCGTTGTGAGTTCAAGCCCCACATTGGGCATAGAGCCTACTAGAAAGGAGGGCGGGGGGTAGAAAACATGATCCCTAAAATTAAGACACGCAGTTGGTAACTATCAATATACACATCTGATTCATCTACAGACTGATTACAAAGCAGTCTATGAGCAAGTATAAGATTGTTTAGTGCACACTGGGTATGCGAATATTATAGACATGATGAGGACAGAGCCATCGGGCCAGGGAAAATGGTGGTGTTTCTCCTGTCCTCCATGTTCCTCCTTTCCATCTCAACCTCCTCTCACCTGGGAACTTGCTCTCCAGGACCCATCGTTTGTTGATCCAATACGAAGGAGCTTTATGGGATCCAAGACTTTTGTCTGTAATCCTTTTGGAGCATGAAGCCAAAATGTGTTTTATTTCCCCTGGGACCAAAGTATCAACTATGTCATAATAACCTAAAACAAAGGCAGAAGATGAGTTTGACAGGTCAAGCAACTTTTCAGTGCCTCTCAAATCACTGCATTTAATCAATGTTCTTTCCTGCTGTAATCAGCAGAGACTTCTGAGAAAAGAAGAGAGTAAGCAGTACTTTGAAAAAACTGAATTCGTATGTAAGGCATAGGAGAAATGCTTGACACACCGGTCTTCAGGGATATGGTAAAGCGTGAAAGGTCCAAGTTGTGCATTGGACACAAAATTTAAGTGGGAATTAAAATCTCAGTACTTAAGACAGATAATATTTTAATACAGCACTTTTTAAAATAAAAACTTATGCAAAAATATTCATAATGAACAAAATATCAAAGTTTAAATTGACGCAGGATCAGTATTATTGATTTTTTCCTTTTGCCTCAAGCCAATATGGCTTGGTATAAGGCACTAATCCTGTCTTTCAAAAAATTTTTATTTTATTCATCATGGATTTTCTTACATTAATTTGAACTTTGAAAAAATACTTAATTGAAATATTATTTATTTTAATTACTAAGATTTTTGGTGCCCCCTTTAATTTTGCAGCTGAGGTCAGTGACTCGTTCCACTTATCCTAGCTAAATCCAGTCCTGCAACAGGGTCACTGATGATAAAGAGGAAAGGTAGAAAGCCATGATGAGAAATGTAATTTCTAATAATTTCAGAACATTATATAATTGAGTCATCCTGGAATGAAACAATAATAAAAAGCCAGAAGGAACAACAGGTCAGGGATATAGTTATACATTTGGGAATTCTCATAGCCGCAAGAGGGCATCAATTAAAATTTTGACAGAATATGCGTTCCAAGACAGTATTAAAAGAAAAGAACAGAGAACTAAGGACTAATCTGAGGATTACTGTTAGTTCTAAATGACAGATTTTTCTCCAGTGGATTATCATTCCCAAAGTATAACATGTTCTAGAACAGTGTTTCTCAAACTCGTATATGCATCTCAATCACCTGAAGGACTTGTTGAAATTCAGATTACTGGACACCACCCCCAGGACTTCATTTCAGTAGATTTAGGGTAAGGCCTGAGAATTTGTATATCTGACAAGTTCTCAGGAGATGTTGATACATCTAGTCCAGGGCTCATACCTTGTGAACCACTGGGCTAGAATAAATAGAATCTTTACAACAGAGTAGTTGGTTTAAAATTTTATGTAGTGAAATACTCTATGGGGAAATCAAATTCTATCATTTCTTAATACTATAAACTCTTCAGGAAGAAACAAAAAGAATGATTCCATCATGCCTCAAAGACCAAACAAATAATTGCAACAAATATAGCTAGTTGGAGCAAGATAATGGAGTGGTGGGGGTCGCAAACTGGAGATTACATGCCCACTAAAGGAATTAAAGTTCCATGAAAACAACATAAGTCATGGGACACCTGGCTGGCTTAGTCCATAGAGCATGTGACTCTTGATCTCAGGGTCATGCGTTCAAAGCCCCACACTGGGCATCGAGCTTACTTTAAAAAAATTAGGGGGCGCCTGGGTGGCGCAGTCGGTTAAGCGTCCGACTTCAGCCAGGTCACGATCTCGCGGTCCGTGAGTTCGAGCCCCGCGTCGGGCTCTGGGCTGATGGCTCCGAGCCTGGAGCCTGTTTCCGATTCTGTGTCTCCCTCTCTCTCTGCCCCTCCCCCGTTCATGCTCTGTCTCTCTCTGTCCCAAAAATAAATAAACGTTGAAAAAAAAATGTTAAAAAAATAAAAATAAAAATAAAAAAATTAGTCACTATGCAAGATGTACAACTTGTACCTCTGACATTCTGGATTGAACAAGTTTATTAAACTGGATCACCTGGAAAAGAAAGGGACTCAGAGTTTGTGGTTTAAAATTTCATAAGGGGAGCAACCCAGTTCCTGGGAAATTGGTTTGATTCTTGCTACTGAGGAAGGTAAGATGATCAGTTGGCACCAATGACGTAGATCAGAGCCCATTAAAATGCAACCCCTTGCAGGTGGACAGACTGCAAAACAAGTACTTGATCTTGGGACCTTTGGTGAAGGGCCTCAAGTCACTTGTGGATGGAACCATTGGTATGCCTGACAGCTGTCTCTATTGGAATAAACCATTAAAACATGGGTGATGGTAGCCACAAGCATGCAGAGTTTGAGGACTGGTACTTTCCTCTATTTTCCTGTACCTCACCAATCCTGGGATCCTTCTGTAGCCCAAAATAGGGGAAAGAAGCACTGAAGATCACTGAGTTTGGACTTCTCGTAAACCCTGGAAATAAAAAAGTTCAAGATGAATTTAATATGATTTCACAAAATGGGGAAATGTGACATTGCTTGAATTCCAAGTTTTAGGAATCAACCCATACTTATTTCAGTCAGAGAAGACCATTTGATAGCAGACCAGCTTAATCTGTGACACTAACTTGACAATTGTTGGTTTACAGACTAATATTTGGAGCCCCATGTGGTCACCCCCACCCCAACAATTTGCTACGAAGCCATCAGTTCCATTCTTGCTTCCTCTAGTATGAGTGAGGTGGTGCAACCTGTTTTGCACATCAAAAAGAGTGAGTCAGCTGAGACTTATATAAGAGTTTGGACATGCCAAGCAAGTTACCAACCAGAAATTTCTCATGGTTAGACATGGTTGCCTGATTGGATGTCAGTGTAAATAACCTTCTATGCAGGCTGCTGGAGATCCATTTCTTGCCTTACAAATTGTGGAATAGGGAGAAATCCATGGGGTGATAAAATGACCAATAAACTGAATTCAGCAGAAACAGGAACTCAGAACTAGAGATTTGCAAGTAAGCAATAAGCCATCGCTAACCTTCTAGAACAGGTGTCTGCAACCTATGTCCTTGGGCCAAATCTGGACGCCACCTATCTCTATAAAGTTTTATGGGAACAGACCCATGCTCATTTGTTTATATATTGTTTATGGCAGCTTCAATGGCAGAGTTGAATAATTAGAGACTGTATGGCATACAAAGCTGAAAAAAAACAAAGTGCTGTTTCCCTGATCTAGTAAGAGAAAGAACTAAGAGCCTCCCAATTCACTAAATTCACCTGGAATATAGCCTAATTGAATTGTATTTACATCTCAAAGAACAAGGTGCCTCAGTGATATCTAGGCACAGACAAATTTGACAGAAGATATCAAGGTCCCTAATCTCGAATCTGACACATAGTCCCCATGTGATAGTGACTCCAGCTTGTTTTTAGGCTCTGATTTTAATAATTAATTGATCCTAAGGTTCAGCTCTTCCTATTCCTCTAGTTGGATTCCAAGCTGTCAGAATTACTGCCATTGTTCACCTATAATTGTTCCGTAAAGTAACAAACGACTTTTTGGCCCTGACCTGACATTACTCAGTACAGATAAAGTGGAAAAAAAAAAAAAAAAAAAAAAAGGCTACTTTGTTCTCCTAGTTGCATATGCCCATTTCTTTCCTTGGAAAGATGTCATCATTTGCAGTGTCCACATACTCTATTCCTATCAAAACCAGCCCTCACAAGAAAACATATGAAACTCATTCAAATACAAATAATATATAACAACACACTATTACCTCCCCAGAAGGATTGAAGTCCTAGAAGCATTAGCAAGTAGGTAGGACAAACAAATGTTTCTTTCTTTCTGTCTTTTGGAGGTCAGGATATAAAGACAGAAAAAAACTAACACCAGGTAGGCTAGCAGCTCTCTTTCTTCAACGAACCAATTTCTCTGTGCCAAATCCATAACCCCAAAACCACTACATCAAAATCACCCCCAGAATACTTAATAAAAATGCACATCCTGAAGCCCAGTTCTGAACTGACCAAATCAGAATACTTGGAGATAAGTTCCGGGAATCGTTATTTCAACAAGCACAATTGCCTCTTCATGATTCATATGTTGAGTAAATTTTGAAAACCATTGCACCACACTGTGTGTGACTGTCTAGCCTCCTGCCCACTGGCCTTGTAGCTTGATGAGTAGTCGTGATAGGCTGGAGACACTCCAGGACCTGACTTGGCTCAGTCTGATTGGGCATTTAATGGTGCCCTGACTTACAGGTGATCTGAGGAATTTCTCACACTTATAAGGGCTCTCTCTGATGAGGACTGGTGTAATGTTTCAGAGTGTAAGTCACCTTCGTTATTTATTTTCACATTAACTGCACAGAACAATGATATGAGGTAATCACTAGTAAGTTTCAGGAAAATTACCCAGTTTCCTTCATTGTAAAATGGGGGTTTTAACAAAGCCTATTTGAAAAGGTGGGAAGAATTGAGATAATGCACTTAAAGTGCATAGCATGAAGGAAGTGGTGAATAAATGTCAACAATTACTGTTGCTCATTTAATTACACATGAGAAAATTAAAGCCCAGAAGTTTTATTCAATAAATCAGTTACACACCTTATAAGTTGCCAAGAAGAAGACTTGAAACCCAGTACTTTTTGGAGTCAGTCTTTCTTCTGCCCTGAGATTGAGATTGATTTACCATTTACCATGAAATTCATAAAGTGAGTTTCGGAGCTCCTCATTTGCTTGGACTCCTTCTAAGACTCTAAGATAGACCTAGTAAAATGTTCACACAGTCAAAATTTTTATCATATTTGCAAAAGTTGGATAATTTCATCACAGCTGGTACAGAAAATGGCTTCTTTCCAGTCCTGTTCTGTCATGCTTTCTCTCTTTTTGTTGGCACTGGAGTGGGGTGGCATTTTAGGGTTCCAGCTAAGGGGAAATGGAATTTGAGATACCCTCAGCTTGGAATCAGTGCGATTTTTTAAATGTGGTGTGCATTAGCTTCTGCATGTAGTTACTTTATTACTAGCAGTCTCAAACTAAAATTGACTTTAACAGATAATCCCGCTAACCATTTTTCCGGCCCAGACATGACATGAAGGTATCCAGAGCAGAGGACCAGAGCTCATATAATATGAAGGTGCTCCAGGGTACCAAGCACTCAGCACTGGAGGTATATGCAGAGGATATGCATGAACTCGGTTATGAATTATAT